TGTATGTGTAAGGAAGGCATGAGCTAAAAATGCTTATGCCCTCTGCTTTTTATATTTTAATTCAGCAGCTGTGCTTATGTAAGGGGTACTTCAGTGTCTCACCTTTTATTCCCTTACTGAAGCATCTTAACTGCAGCACCTGCTGGCTTGCCCATGAGACTTGATTAAGGCAAATTCCTCTGAGTAGGGGTTACAACCGGGCACTTCAGCAAACTGTTCAAAAAGCTCAGGCATCCTTACAATATTTGCTACGTTTTTGGGGTTTTTTTCTTCTTACCGGTCTCACCTGCCTGCCTACATCAACGACCAGAAACAAGACTAGCTAAACCCCTGGCTGAGGCAAAGCAAAAGAGTGAAAGGCCAAATCTATTCCCCCCACATATGTGTTGTCTGCAGGGTAATCATAGCTGGCTTGAATGTAAATAATTTGTAGATGCACTACGCAGAAGGGTACTATGGGAAACTTGTTGATTTCCCCTTCTTCTTGAATCCTGCCATGTTGTTCCTATGTGCTGGCAAGTTGTCTCCAACTTTCAGTGACTCTATGAATGAATGCTGTCCAAAGTGCCCTGAATGACAGCTCCACTCAATTCTTCCAAGTTCAAGGCTATAGCTTCTTTTAAGGATTCAATTCATTGTATATTTGATCTTCTGCCTTCAGTTTCCCCTAACATGATTGTCTTCCCTAGTGAGTCTTGCTTTCTCATATTTCTGACATATGACAGACTCAGTTTTATCATTTTGCTCTAGGGAAAGCTCAGGTCTTTGCCCTAGGGAAAGTTTTGATCTAGGACCTTGTTTGCTTTTCTATCAGTCCAGGGTATTCTCAAAGCTCTCCTCCAGCACCATGTTTTGAACACATCAATTTTCTTCCAGTCAGCTTTCTTCACTCTCCATATTTCACTCTCATAGATTGTGACTGGGAATGAAATTGTTTAGATGAGCTTGACCTTTTGTTGTTGTTGTTGTTGTCAGTCACAAAGTCACAAAGTCATGTCTGACCCACCGCAACCCCATGGACAACATTCCTCCAAGCCTTCCTGTCCTCCACCATCCCCCGGAGTCCACTCAAGCTCACGCCGACTGTTTCAGTGACTCCATCCAGCCACCTCAGCCTCTGCCATCCCCTTCTTCTTTTGCCATCTGTTGTTCCCAGCATTAGGATCTTCTCCAGGGAGTCCTTCCTTCTCATTAGGTGGCCAAAGTATTTGAGTTTCATCTTCAGTATCTGGCCTTCTAAAGAGCAGTCAGGGTTGATCTCCTCTAGGATGGACCGGTTTGATCGCCCTGCAGTCCAAGGTCTCCAGTAAAATATCTTTACACTTGATGATCTCTAATTCCTTCATTGGTGCCCTTCCAAGTCTCAGTCTTCTTCAGATTTCTGGGCTGCAGTCTCCCTTTGAATTGATGACTGAGCTGAGGGATATGAAATCCTTCATAATTTCCACCTCATTATTGTCAACAGTAAAATTCTGTAATTCTTCTGTGGACATGACTTTTGGGAAACCATTCTGATTCTCCACGTTCTGTCCTAACTTCTTGTCCATGAGACAGGTTATGCATCAGGAGAATCAAGTGGTGAGGAACATCCATTTCTGTTGGAACTGCCCATATCATCTCATGATTTTATTTGGTCGGATTTTGCATTATAGCTTCTTACTGCCTGTACTTAGAACCACTCCATTTCTTCTGAGTTTGTCATTTCCAGAGTAAAACACTTTATGTTTGTCTGATGGAAATGTCCCACTCCAGCCCACTCTAGTTCACTCACATGAAGTACTGAGATGTTCATTCTTTCCATTCCTTGCTTTATGAGTTCCAGTTTGCCTTGATTCATACTTTTGAGGCCCTCGTAAGGAAAGGTGATGACCTACAGTGAGGCAGCCTTGTTGTGTGCACCAGTGATCTGAGCCAGATCACTGATTTATCTTGCCAAGTTCTGTTGAACCTGACTTGAATTCACACTTCAGGTATGGCTTTTTCATAATTTCATGTTCTAGTAACTTCTAGTTTAAGGCATGTGTAATGCCAGTAAACAATCACAAGGATACTTACTATAGTCTAGCAAGAACACAGACTTTTTCAAAAGATCCTGTTTTTAAAATTTGAAAAGATGTAAAGTATCATTATTAAATGTGTTACCAAGAATAACACCAGTTATCATTTGTTCAAGTAATCCTCAGGTCATACGCTTGAACCTTTGCTAACATGAACCTTTGCTAAGGCTTTAGGTTCTCAAATGACATAAACAAACACAGGGAAATGTATTGTTAGATCAATGCAGGAAAGTTCATGTGATCGTAAGAGCTGCATCTTAAAAGGGCTGAACCATAATCCAGCTAATCAAACTCAAAAAAGCAAACTGAAGTAGGAGGAATGCAAGAGGGAGCAGCAAGTCTTTGTCAGGCATATATTGCTTGAGCGATGCTGAAGGTCCAAAGAAGCTGTGAAGTCAAGAATTAGACAGTACTAAAGTGAAGGTACGTAATGTCATGTTGTAGCAGGAAAAACTATGAAGAGTTGCTGGCACTCAAGGCTTATATAAGAACAACAGACGGTGTGGCCAGAGTGCAGGTGCTTTGGGAGACTTTTCTTTGTTGATAGCATTGAGACACCTGTATTAGGTTTGTGGCAGCTGGTTCTTGCTCTTTCTTTATAACTGGACCACATTGTTTTCATGCAGACTTTATTCAGTAACTAATAATTCAAGAAAGTAAGTCTCAGTGAACACAGTGGAAATCATTTCTGACTAAATGTGCCTCAAACTAGGTTGTAATAATTGCAGTACTTCTGCTGGATCATCCTGCTTCACTCTGCTACTGAATATTGCCATTATTGTGTCCTTGATAGCTTCCTTTCTCTCCCACTTCTTGTCCCCTTTTTGGCCAGGGAATGGCTGACTGCATAAGCAACGCCAGCACCAGCGGTGGTGTTTAAGTCATTTGTGCTTATAGCCCTCCATAGTACCTTGTAAGATAACAAAATTGCCATTGTCACTGATTATACAGGCTCTTGGAATGCACCTCTTAGAATGAACCACACTATTCTTCAGATTTTTTTTATTCATTATCTGCCTTAGGAAATTGTCATGGGCATCCTGCTTTCACTCTTCAATCTGTATTTGTTTCATACAATATTTGAGCAATAATATATCAAAATACAATTTAAATAAATATAAAATATATTTTGAGCCTTGAGTATTTTAAGGTTGAAACTAAGGCAGAAGGAGTAGACATTGGCACAGCCAATTTCATCAAGTGTTGAGTAGAGTATACATTTAAGATTTGCAAATGATTAAATAAAATGGAGGTATTTTTCCTGTTCTCTGTCACCTTGCTTTGTTGAGTCTTACTTGAAAAATGAAGGCAGTGACTGTATTTGGTCTTAATGAGCTTAGTGACTAGTGTGCCGCCCCATCTCCTTTCAGCCCAACCACAAGGAGGACACTGGAAATATTTCCTTCCATTTTTAACTACCCACATTAAGCATTTTATCCAAACCAGGACAAACTGGTTGTTCTTAACTGTGGTTCACTGAAACAAGTCAATTTAAACCATGGTTTACAAAACTTGTTTGCTCATCAGGGATGAGGAGACATTTTCAGTCCATTTCAGTTTGGGAATGGTTGAGGGGGAGTCATACCATCTGTGGGTGGCAGGAAAAGGCAAACTGGAAAAAGACAGTGGGTGTAACCAAATGTTTTAAATCTAATCAGAAATGCAGTATATTAAATCACATAGTAGCCTTTCCAAAGAGAATTCCAAATACCAAGCTTCATGTCTACTCAGAAGCAAGCAGAAAAATCCTCAGTTGTATGCAGGACTGCACTGCTGCAGGCTAACCCCCTCCTGGCGGGGGAAAGGTCTTATCTCCAATCAGCAGCTGTTCAGGAATAAGAACATTTATCTACTGGGAAAGGAAGCAGGTCTTGTGGAAGGTTGGTTGTCTGTATGAGGAATCCCTGCCCACCCCCTCACCATAGCTTCCTGCAGACCAGACAATCTACATGCTGTCTCTAAGGTTAGGTGGCCACTTTCAGGTGTAGGAATCTTTCACCCCACATATGTCATTGGACTCTAACTCATATCAGCCCCAGTTAGAATGGCTAGTGGTCATACACATTATTGTGTAACATTTGAAAAGTCATAGGTTCCTTAATCCTGGTTTAATTTTTTCATTATATAAATAGTCGTAGTGTGTAAATGTGTTTTTGTTTCGTACCATATCCCTCTATGTTACCCTAATATCAAAGTAAGAGCAATACAAGGTATATACCTGCAGTCCTACTCCCAAAGTACATTTGCTTAATTCTGTCAAAATCTATAGATATAAACAAAAATAACTAGGTTTAGGACTGTAGTGGATAGTTCCAAATCAGAAAATGTATTTTTAGTGCAATGCTGCAAATTTTCCATGCAATTTTCATTGATATCAGTGAGGTTTATTCCCAAATAAGTGTGTATGAGGAAGTCTTACATCCATTTGTAACAGAAATACTTAAGCATATACAGCAACAATGCCAGTGTGTGCCTGGCACTTTGATCCTATGTTCAGCCCCATCCAGATGAATCAAGCCATGTGCCCACATGTGTATGAAAATCATCTTCAAAGCAATGTCTAGATCGTATCTTATCCTTACTGCTAGAATCCCATATCTAGTGCATGTTAAAAGCACTAGTATGTCAGTCTGTAAACCTTGTTACACTAAGTAGGTAAGTGTGCTGGTTGAAGTATATTTTGGTGGGTGATTATCAACGACTGCATCTGGCCAACATCACACAACATGAGTATGAGATTACTATTATGGTGTCTTCACAGTAGCACAAGCAGCCATCTCAGCACAAGGGTTATTAGGAAAATATAAGTAGCCTGTGTCAGAACATAGCGATGAAATAATTTAAACCTCTTTCTTTGTAAGCCTGTAGTGCTTTTTTTTAAGCTAGGGAAGTAATTGCAAACTATTTGTGTTTGTGTTTTTGTTTTTCTTTTTGTTTTTCAAGCACTTTTGTGCAATGGAAAGTTTCACAAGCACTTGCAGGAGGTTTTTGTTCCCTTGGTCATCCGCTACATTGATCTCATGGAATCATCCATTGCCCAGTCCCTTCACAGAGGTCTTGAGCAAGAGTCATGGCAACCTGTCAAGTAAGTGTTCCTGGAAGACCTAAACCAACTGCTGTAGTATCTGTATCCTCTTTAGTCCCAATTTGGTTTGCAGTAGTCCTCAACTTTGCTATTAAAAATCTACTTTTTACTGTACCCCTACATTGTTTATTTCTTCACAGGACCATCACCAACAGTCTTCCCAATGTAGCTCTTCCAAAAGTTCCAAGTTTGCCTCTTAATCTTCCACAGATACCTAGCTTTTCTACACCAACCTGGATGGCTTCTTTATATGATTCCACGTGTGTATTCTCGACTGATCTTTAAATGTTGAATGTGTGTGTGTGTGTGTGTGTGTCAGCTCTGCACGGCCTTGCTGGTGTCATGTACAGCTGTATTTGGACTGCATGGTGTTTGTGATCATTTGGTTGGAAATTACAGCTTTTTGGTTGAAAGCCAAGCATGGAATGCCATTGGGTTGTGCTTTTTGATGTATAAAATCTCAGTAGGATGGTGCTTAACATTAACTAGGCAAAGGTTTGTTGTGGTATACTTAGCAGTCATCACCCTTAATTACATAATTACTCCTATTTAGTTAATAAGCAGTGTGGAAACACTTTAAATTATCGTACTTGACTATGTCTTTTTTTAAACGTCAATAGCTCTTTGTGTTTTTGGCATGTTATTACTAACCCATTGCATGTGCCAAAGAATTTTGAAAATAGCAGCAGCAGTTGGCTGCTTTATTTTATGAGACTTGTATAGTCTGTCTTTTAATAGGATGCTTCCCATATTAATAGAGTTCTGTTCCTACTTAATTAAATTGTGTCTGCTTGAGTTTCCTTTATTTTTTTAACTGAGTGAGAGTGGCTTTGTGTCCTTTAAATGAACAGCTTCAGAATTACGTATTATACATTGTAGCAGGATAAAATATTAGGGAGTTTGTAAAGTATAGCCAGTATAAGCCTGCAACAAACAGGACTATGGCAGAATCCAGAGGGGTGTTTATGCCTGTGCCAGTTCCCTTCTGCCCTTCTGATTCTCTCCCACAAGTGGTTCATGTTCATTCTTCTGCACAAGCAGGGCCCACCACATGCAGGGAGATTTAGTGCTGTCTAGAGGAAGCCCCAAAAGTAACGGAACCAGTTGATTCCAGAAGGAGGCAAGTTGGCAGAGTTCTCGTAGGTAAGCCCTACCTGTCTGCCAGAAGCAAGTTGCCCCAGAAGAGCTAAATTGCCATTGCATAAGCAGTGGGGTCTGCTTGCATTGCACAATTGGTGGGGCAGAAAAGAATCAGTGGGGCTGAAGCAACTTGTTGAAATCTCCCATTTTCTTAGGCACATTTGAAGAATATTTTTTTAAATAATTACTCTTCTTTTAAACCTTCAACTAAATCAAATTTTGTGGAAGATATACAAGCAACATGTAATTGTTGGTTTCAGTTCTCTTTGTGAACTGTGTTCTAGCATTCCCTCTATTTCCATCATACAGAAGTTCTCTTGTGCATCTGCTAACTCCATGAATGTAATCTTCTTTGACCCTAAGACATTTACTAGATGAGATTAAATACTGATAGCTTTGGTTTTTGTTGCTTGCAAATTAATCAGCTATAGATATTGTTCTTACTGGATTTCCTTTGGAATAATGCTTATTTTTTCTATTTCTCAATAAATACTGACACATGCATTTATTTAAATTGCTTGCAAGTAATAGGTAGGAATTGTTCCTAAGGAGCAACATAATATTCCAGATTACATGTGCTTGACAAGCAGATGTAATTATGATTATTCTAACTTCCTGAAATATTGGCCTGATGAGATTTTTTTCACACCTTTGTACACTTCCTTATTTTTCTGATCTTTATTTAGAGATAGAATATGGCATGAATCTTACATCCTCAGCACTGGCCCCACCATTAGGCAAAATGAGGTAATCTTGTCACCTGGCAAATACTTAATGACAGGGAATGGCATTGAATAATTGGCATGTTGAGTCACAAGACCTGTTCCCCTTAAGTTACTCAACTGCTTTTCCAGTGTGGTGGAAGACAATTTTTCTTCACATATGTTGAAGTAAAATTCAACTACCTCACCTATCAGCTTCTAAACCTGGAAGTGGCAGGGTTGCCATATTAACCTTTGCCTGCAAGGTTATATAATATTCACACACACACAAGAGAGAGGGATGGAGGAGAGGGAGATTACACACACACACACACACAAGTCAAGAACCCTATTCAGTCATTCCAACAAGGTTTAAAATTGACATGGATGAGGACAAAGCACTCTAGCCTTACATGTCCTCGCATCATGTTTGTTATCTTCCACTCGTGAATCTCTGTCTAAAAGAGAAGGCTCTTCTTTTATATATGCCCCCCCCCAACACGGTGATATATCAGTCATTTGGAGATGGCACAAGTACAGATGGGTTTCCTCTTCAGACAGGTATGCACAAATACTGAGCAATGAATACCTTGGGGGAGAGATAAAGGGCTAGATCACCTTCTCCCCATGCATGTTCATTTTAACTTTTTAAGTAACTGAAATGGGCTAAGATAGTCTAACTATAGAGCAAAGTTTTGCAGACTGGGGCATTGGAAAATTCAAGGAAGCAGTAAAGCCAAGATGAGGGAAGGCAAAAGAATGGGAAATAACTTTGTTAGGTATATATAGCAAAATATGTCAGAAGCAATTGGGAAAATGAAGACCACTGGGGGGACAGAAAGCACTGCAAATGGATTTACTCTAAAAAGTTCAAAAGCATAATATCTCTGCTTATTAATTCAGATAGGCTACTTTGCTTGTCCTGATAGACAATGTACACATACTTTCAATAAATAAATTCATGTGCATGTGTGCATACATAAACCTGCTGACATTTTTGCAAGAAGTGGATTTTTCTGTGTGTGGTTACATAAACAGTAAATGTGCATTCTTATCTATCACTACACAGTCTGAGGAACATAATTACTTTGTTTTTAGTTGTTTTTGCTAGTCCATCTCTTTAATGGTCCATTTGGGGCATTGCGCATTAAGGTTGAGGAGGTATTAAGAGAGCAAAATGCTGTGTGTAGTATTCAGTGTTCACTTTGATTGGTCCCTTGAGATGCTAACACAGAGGATAGCTTGGCTAGACATGAAAAGCATGATGAATTATTCTTGGAATCATCTAAGGAAAACACACTAGAAGTTGGAGGGAGTTGGTACAATGTATTGGGGAAGATCACATAATTAGTTAGGATAGGAACTATTGCTGAAATACATTTTTTTCTCTTCACACGCTTCTGCAGTTAATAAATCCTATGTATTAATTCTAAATTAGCCTTAGAATCATCAGGAATGTGAGCAGTTATATCAGGCGAAACTGCAAAAGAGCATTTGTATTGGGTTGGAGTTCCATAAAAGCTCAGTAATAAGTAGTTGGGTGCATGGATGTTGTGAGCCGCCCCGAGGCTTTGGCGAATGGGGCGGCATAGAAATGTTTTAATTCATAAATAAATAAATAAATAAATGGATGAAAAACAGTGGGCCGGTTCACATGTAATGACAAGTCACCGTGGAAACCACGAAGGCATGGCTTGTCATTATGTCTGAACCCAGCATTCATGGTGAATGAAACTACACAGAGCAACAACAGCCTGTTGTAAGGCTTCTGTACTTCACCATGGCTTGTTCTGCAGTCTGAACCCAGTTGCAATGTTTCCACATGGTTTCCATGTTTCCACCATAGAGTTTGCTTTCTTGTTCTGCCTAGCAACTGCCATGCCAGAGCCTAACATGCCCTGATTGGCTGCCTCACTCTTCTTTTTTCTTGTGTCTGCCCACTGCCTTCCTAATGTGCAGCTGCAGCTTTGGAATCTTATTGCCGGTGGGACATCGGGTCATGACTGTGGAGACAACCATACTTGGCCTTCCATTCTGGTCACTCACTGAACTTTCCTGGAGCAGCACTGAGAAATGGCAGAGTGTTTGTGCCACTCAGGGAGCCAGCAGTCTCCTCTGGTGAAGGCTGCCTTACACAACACGGGCTGTGTTCAGACATCTCCATCAGGACAATCACTCTGAAAAGACCTTATCTCCTGCTCTGCCTCCCACCCTGTACTCTGCTCCCATCTTGTCCTCATCAACCTTCAGGACTCTCAGCAAGCTCCGTGGTCCCCTTCCCCTTTCCAGCTGCAGGATAAACACTGTCCTAGCAGCCTGCCAGAAAGATGCCCACACAGGCATCCTCAGGAAACCCTGCCCAGGAGGACACACTGCCACCCTCCTTAGTGTGGGTGAGCACTGATGCCCTCCACATCGCTGGCTGCAGTGGGGAGGTAGCCCCACGGCAGCATGTGCAAGTGGAGGGAGAGGTGGATGTGTGGGTAGAGATGCTTGTACATTGGCACTGAGTGTGGCAGCCCAGGAAAATGTTCCTGTAGTGCTACTCAACAGCAACAGTGATACTGTTGTGAATAGGCAGTTGCTTCACAAAGCACTAGAAAAACAAAAACACAAAAAGGCAGCTGGCTGAGGCCACATCCAGGGTTCATGTGGGCCAATGAGGAAGAGGCAGGTGAGGGAGCAGTGCACACTGGGATTGATCCTGGGCTGATGGGATAGCCAGCCACCATCTGGAGGGAAGCTGGAGAAGCATGGAAGCAAAATGCCTTTCTTATCCTAGGTTCAAGATGAGATATAAGGTTACTGCATGGTATGGCTTACTGTTACATGTGGATGCAAAAACAGGAATATTACTCTTGGTCACAATGGCATAATATGGTCAAAATGAATATTCTTAGCATTCCATAGTTCCTAGATCCTATCACATAAAATGGTGATCTTGGGCATGGGAGAGGGAGGATCTAAATGGGATCCAGCAGTGTTAAGCTAAGTCTGGACTTAATGGTATTTTATTGTGCCATTGTGTTCTAGGCTAATACATGATGAAGGACCAAACTGTGACATGGGAGCCACCTAGAGCCTCTAAAAGGTTTAAGTAGGGCTCTCATAAAATAAGATAGCAATGATTATTATGTCAAGGATAGAAGAGAGACTTGTCCTTCTCTGCTGAGAAGAAGAGTTTGGACTAAGAAGGGGTTGAGCTTAACCAGAGTTGAAACTGGGAGCAATATATCCTGTTGGGATGATAGTTAGTGAGCAACCAGCCATCACAGTTCCCTGGGACCTCTGAAAAGAGATGGCACCACCATGATCCAGTGTTTCATAGTCTAAAAGGCCAAAGAAATAGCAAGAAGAAAACAGTGGAACACTGTTTCCCCTGTGAAACAAAGCAGAAGCATGACACTAACTCTCAATTA